CCATAGCTGCGCGGGTGTATCGAGCGTGTGCTGGGTGAGAGCGTTAAAAGGGCCCATGAAACGAATTTTGGGATGGGTAAATTATTTTAAATTGGGACTTTACTAATCGCATATCGTTTAGTTGGCCAAGAGAAAAAGGGTAGAAAGTCAAAAGCCAGCTTTTCTGTACGAACATTTGAACATATAGCGGACTATTTTGTACCTTCTTTCCTTCGAAAGCTCTCCGCCTTTTCACTATGATACATCCGCGGTTTCAAAAGCGCGTCAGCGGTGCCAAACTGACGTCAGCCGAGCCCACCTCACGCATTGGACACAAGAACTGCGTCACTCGGAAGTATGCGCTCGTCAACAATCAATCCGGCGACGAATATTCGGATTCGCGTTCGTGGCCAATGAGTGCCCTGACGGAACTTATCGTCACTGGGGAATGACAAACGTGAAAACAGCGCAAAAAATTGAACAAAGGACAAGTGAAAGGAGTGCACGGACAAAGCGCTGACTGTCAACCAAAGTTTAATTTTCAGGCAAACCAGAAAAATAAACACAGAGCATAGGAAAGAACCAATAAAAGACACAAAAAATTTACAACCCAACCGACAAGATTTCTACCACGTCATCACCCTTACACATGCCTGCCATTCTTCATGTGTGAGGGTGATGACGTGGTAGAAATCTTGTCGGTTGGGTTGTAAATTTTTTGTGTCTGTTATTGGTTCTTTCCTATGCTCTGTGTTTATTTTTCTGGTTCGCCTGAAAATTAAACTTTGGTTGACAGTCAGCGCTTTGTCCGTTCACTCCTTTCACTTGTCCTTTGTTCAATTTTTTGCGCTGTTTTTACGTTTGACGATGTTAAACCAACTAGCCCAACTTACCGCCTTGGGGAATGACAAGTTCTACGGTGTGCATAAAAAGCACGGTGGAAGCTAAGAGTCATCGCACCGGTGCCGAAGAATGTCACGACGACATGATTTCACAATTCGCATTTGAGTTGATGTTTAAAGCTAAGGAGGAAGAAGTAAAAAAATCGTTTCGTGACCCCTTTAAGCAGGTTACTTTGGCACCCTCAAATTAGTGGGTCATAGCACGGGATAGGTTCATTTACGTATAGCTCCACTCACGTGTCGCTCGCTTCCCCATTCGAGCATGCACGTGCTTCATGTGCGTGGAGGCGAGGTGGGGGCAGTAGACTTATTGCTATATAACCCAAGCATCAAGGGGAATGCAGGGATCGGTGTTCCACGCGCCGCACGTGCTGGCCTCAGCAGTAGTAACTTTCCCGAAGCAAATACCTAAAACAAATGGCTTCTTGCACGCGCGTTCGTCAACGCTTTATTTTGGTTATTTACTTCGAATTCTTTATACGGGAAGGCGTGCGCGTGTGGCGCGCGGAACGCCAACCCCTGCATTCTCCTTGATGCTTGGGTTATATAGACGCTTTACACACGCGCCAAATTACAGCCGCCATTGCTGACCTTCTCTTGTCTTACCGAGATGCCGAGCAACTGAAACGGTAGTTGACGATCCTCTACAGAGGCCGATGCTTTAGAAAAGGACGCAGTAACACTTAAAATGGCAATAACCTGGCTTGCTATGGTAATCATGAAGCGAAATAAACGGAATAAGAGGAAACAAAAACTGAAGGTCAGTTATGGCGGCGTCCATGCACAGCTGCTGCAAAGCGTCTATAGCAAACGGTCTATTGGCCCAAGGATTATGCTCCAGTGTAGGCACATGGTGCGCGCGCTCGCCTTGCCAATGAGAAAAATTCTAAGTTCACGTCTAAAATAAAAGAGCGACCAACGTGCGTGCAACTCGTAATGTGCTCTATATTATGGTTTCAAAGCGTTATTGTACAGACGCCTGGACGCACAGCGCTTATAACTATAGAGAGTTTTAGTAATACGTATAGAACGTTGCGTCCACCACACTGCGCATGCGCCATACGTAAGTACTGCGGCGAGCCTTGCGTACGTACGCACGCTATCGATTTTTGCGAACGTACGCAGCGGTCCCCTGCGTGCCATCTCGTTGTTCTCGTCTCGCACGGGAGAACGCGCGACTAGTCCAGTTTGAAAAATGGTGGCGGTGAGGCAAACCAGCGGAAGTGCTACGCGCATTGTACGGGTTCGCTTTACCATTGAAGATGACATCAACCTCCTCAAAAAAGTCAACGCGACAAACCCTCTCGTGCACCCACAAAGACGGGTGTCGATAGCCAAGAACGTTGGCGACGCCGTCGAACCCAAAAAGGTGTTTACCGTGCAGTCGGTACAAAAAAAAAAAAGAAAAAAAAAAGACGAAACACGTGCACAACAGGCGCACGGAAACACGCACTTCCGCAACAAAGCGAGGAGAATCGAGGCTTTGGATTGGCTTGACCGAATACCCGCCTTGGATTGTTTGATGCAGTTTACAGGCGCACATCTAGATGGCGCTACAAGTCTTTACGTATGCGTTCTTCTTCCGCTGTACTAAAAGTGCGTATTCGACGCGCTCCGTAACGTTCCGTCGACGCAACGTTAACGCTAACGTAGGGGGTTTGCGTTTGCCCCTATACGTATTACTAAAACTCTCTTATAGTTGGTGACAGGTAAAGGTGCCTCAGACATCTGCGTTCGGTTGCGCCTTTCCTGACTGCATCCGCTTTTAAGACGGCACAAGCTACCATATTGTAAGATCGTAATCCTTTCAGAAAGTCTCGAGCCTTTCCCGACGGGACGTAGCGCTGTCAAACGCTAATAGTGAGTTTTCGGAGATCGTTTTCGCCGTCCCGCTAAGCCCTCCGCAACCCGTTACGATACCCGGAACTGTACAGTGAAAGCCATCAGCGCGCAGGCGCAGTGGCGGCTTCTTCGTTGCGGAGGGCTTAGCGGAGGGGGAAACGCAGTCTACGAAAACTCCCTAATATCTGAAGGGGCCTTAAAAATGACAATAAAAAGCAAAAAAAAAAAAAAAAAAAAATAAAAGCACGCGCTTTTTGCTTTCCGCCGTGCTTTTGCTGTGTATGCACGCTTGTCCTATAAAGGCTAGAAACTAAAGCACGTGTCGGAGGCGGAGCTTCCCCTTTCCTCGTTTACAAACAAACCGGAGCGCCCCCAGCGGACGTCACCGGCGCCGCGCATGCGCCGTGGTTGGTGGGCAAGAAGCCCGCCGTCGCCCATAAACAAACCATTGAATTGCGTTGTTGTCGGCGTCGGTGGGAGTCCCCGTGCTCTTTTTCGCGTTGAAATTGTTGATTCCACGTCCTCCTAACAATGTCTGACTACTTGAGCGGCTTCAGCAAAACTATCGAGGCAAAACTTTGCGTGAATAATGCGACGTGCGGTGATTCATTTCACGTGGACGCCGCAGAATGGGCGCTAAGGCCTGACTCCCACGTCGAGATTCTGCTCGCTATTTTCAGTCGCGACGTCGCTCGGACTGCAAAAGCGTGGACCGTAGCTGAGATGGTGGACATCGATGCTGAAAACCTCAAGTAGAATCGGGCATTACAAGTCGGTGATGGCCACGGGTAACAATGATCAACAACTTCTTGTATCTGTTTACACTTAGCCGACTTACCCCAACCAACCTTCAGAACTGTTTTGAGGCCTGCAGTTAGTTCTTATCGCAATTACCGGGTCAACGTTTGGTTTACGAGCCACTGTCGTTTGAACGAACTGACAACAAAAAGCAGCCAAGTTTGAAAGAGCAGACGACAGTTCGAACGCACGCGCAATGAAGTACGGGCAAGAAGCACCGCGTCCCGCGTCAACAAACCATTCGAATGTCACGTTGTCGGCGTCTGTGTGAGTCTGCATACTCTTTTTCGCGTTGGAGTTGTCGATTCTACGTCCTCATCGCAATGTCTTACCACTTCAGCCGCCTGAGCGAAATTATCAAGGCTCGTTACGCCGCTAAACTTTCCGTAAATAATTTGACGTGCGGCGATTCATTCGCATGAACGCTGCAGAATGGACGCCAAAACCATGATGAGATTCTTGTAGCTATTTTCGGTCGCGACGTCGCTCGTGCTGCAAAAGTTTAAAAGGTAGCGGCGATGATCGACGTCGATACTGAAAATCGGAAGCGGGAACAGACAAAGCGTAACAAGTAGGTGATGGCCACCGGTACCAATAATTAACATCTTGTATCTACTGTTTACACCGAGCCTACCTAAGTCTTTTGAGGCCTGCAATTACTTCTTATGGCAATCACCGCGTCAAAGTTTGGTCTACGGGCCGCTTTCGTTTGAACGAGCAGACGACAAAAAGCAGACAACTTTGAAAGAGCAGACGAAAGTTCGAACGATCAGGCGGCCGTGTGAATTTGAAGACGCACTGAATCCGTGGGTGGTCCGGACAACTTGGGGGTTTTCTCTCGGTCATGTTGGAACAAAGGAAATACATCTGGCGACCACAAATTGTGGCCCGCACACGCAATCGTAGTTCGACAGCGTCAGGTTTGCCCTTTTCACGGCTACAATCCACGTTCTCGGACGAACGGAGGGGGCAAAAACACATGAAAACTGATCTTCAAACCTTCCCAGATTCTCTTGGTACAGCCCCCGTCGCAGCATTTTGACAGGAAGGCAGGTTGTTTGTCTCGTTTCTTCCAAAGGAACACGGGAATGCATGTCTGGCACGGCGACTTCTGCCCACCGCCCCAGACCGGAAGTGCGTCCGGCGCGCCACCACCGCGGCGTGACGTAGGAGAGTTGAGTTGGTGTATAGACCTTTTCCACAAGGGCGCCGCCATCTTGAATTGACGTCACTTCCAGTATGGGCGAAAACGTAACTTTGCCGTTGCCACGCCAATAGAAGACATTTAAGATATAAGCCTAACCGTCACACATTCTCGTTTTGGCTCGCCTCTATTTGTTTACTAGTTACAGGTTGAAACGTTTTACTTTTTTTTCGTCGCCCATACTGGAAGTGACGACAATTCAAGATGGCGGCGCCCTTGTGGAAAAGGTCTATAGAAACGTATTATATTGCTTGGCTCTTTGTTAATTTTCCGAAGTGTCTATTGCTTCCTGTGGAATCTGCGACTTGTTCGACGGCGTTCCTTTTACAGCTTGCCGCCAAGCATCGTGAAAGAGAGCATCGGTTGGCGATTCCCACCAGCACGGCAAAAAGGCCCCGCGAAGCGTACGAGAATATGCAGGCCGCCATATCGTTTTCCGCATACAGTGTCCACGAGCAGCGAGACATAGAGACACCTGCCATCCTACAAGTGAGTTGTTTTTTTACTTTTTGTGTAGCCCCAACGAAATGTCTGATTGTTCACTTGACTGAGCCTAAATAAAACCACCAAGCATATCAAGAGTAAAAACGAACTTGTGCTGAAGAAAGAAAAATAGTTGAATTCAAACACGGATACTAATGTCTTTGAAAAAAATTGACAGGTGATTATGCAGTTAGGCGAACATTCTCTTTGAAGCTAAGTATACCATATAGCTAGGTCAAAAATGAAGAAACAATTCGTACGCAATAGAAATTGTTAGTGTCACAGTACAGCGACGCGGTGTTGAATTTTTGATTCAGACCGTTTCCTACTTATGCGGAATCCCACTGGTGGATTTGGAGCGATGTAAAAGTGCTCCACGCTCCCGCCTTTAGCACAGTCAAGGCTATCTCGCGCACAAAAATAACAAGAATAAGGCGCCTTAAAATCATTCTAAATTTATCAATAAACAACCAGGATGCGTTTTTTTTTTTTTTTGCGAAGCGGTATGTCGTTTGCGTTTGAGCTGAAAATACTCACTCTTCTTCCCCGTGTTCTTCACAGGTCCGTCAAGTCCCAGTAGTACAGAAAAATCAATAAGCAGTACCCGACACTGCGCTGCATAGGAGATCCGGCACCAGCGTGGCATGAGCTTTCGCAGACCTGGGAGTCCTGGAACAGTATACATACCTGATCGACAGCTACGTCCTCTTCGAACAGACACAGCCTCCATTTCTTATAATGGCGTCATCGCTAGACATGCACACGTTGCATAAGTCTAAGCATTGGGTCTGTGACGGGACCTTTGACTATTGCTCTCCAGTGTTCAGTCAGCTCTACAGCATACATGGTATCGTGCGAGGAGAGGGACTGCCTCTCGTCGTTGGATTGCTACCAGACAAGACGCAAACAAGCTATTCGAAGTCTTTTTATGTATTGCGCTCTGCCCTGGTGCTGACATGTGGTGACGTCGGGGAACTTGAGGTGGGACATTTCGACTTTGAGATGACCGACATCGCTTCATTTGAAGCTGAATTTCCTGGGGCACTGTCGAAGGGATGCCTCTTCCATTTCGCTCAAGGCATCACACGCAAGGTGGCTCAACTAGGTCTACGGGTGAGTACAGCCTCCTTCAAAACTTATATTGAAACTATACAAGACGTAATCTGTGATTGCCAATCGCGCATCACACGCGCCGTTTCCTAAAGTAATTGTTTGTATTTGACCTTCACCTTTCAGGTGCTCTAGGGGGATCCCCAGCGACCAGACCTCAAGAGGTGGGCTCGCAGGCTTGTGAGTCTCGCCCTGCTCCCGGAGCCTCTCGTGGTTCCCCACTGGGTGACGTCATTCAGAAGTCTGACATCGACCACCGGAACCCCGAGGATGGACGCAGCCATCACCAAGCTCGCTGACTACTTTCAAAGTCAGTGGCTGCATTCAAAGCGGCAGGTCAGCCTCTGGAACCACAACAGGGACTAAGACCACCTCCGGGGAACCACGTGGAAGGTTAACGTCGATCGCTAGGTTCGCGCTCTTAGTGCCAACCGAGGATGTCCCGCGGGAAGTTATGGCGGAGTTTCAGCGAAATATCCACCATATGACTCAGGTAAATGACTACACTCATCTATAAGCACCAAAGTATTTAAATATTATCGTTTTCATTCTTCCTAGCATGGTGATGTGCGCACGGTTATGTTACCTGCCGCACGTTCAAGTCAAATTGTTACAGAAGGGGAACACTTTAAGAAAGATATATTTGGTCACAGCTATGTGGATGCAGTCTTCGCTGCGTGCTTGTCGGGCAGGGCGAACATTAGATAGTTGAATCGATAACAGTCACACTCTCTTGACTACTTAGTCAAAATTGTTTTTCAGCTCTTTAATAGCGGTCCCATGGGGCCTATCGAAATTGCAGTTTGGAAGGCAGATATTATCAAAGGCTATCAACAATGCGCGTAAAGAAAAAAAAAAAGGGATTTGAGGTAGTTTTTACGTTTCCGTCGCCTGATTCAACCGTAAACTAGGCGCAAATCACCTCCCCCCCCCCCCCCCCCCCCCCCTTCCCCGCCGTGACGCAGGTTGCTGTCATAAGGAATCTTATCTACAACGACCTGCATCACACCGGAAGCGCCTTTTGCAAATTTCACTGAATGAGGAAATGGACGGCCACGATTATTCTTACACTTAATTGCGCCCTAGAAGAATAATCTGCAGGCGTAAATACGGATTTCGCTTGCTTTTCATAGTGTTTTTATTTGAATGTGAAAAGTTTTCTTTTCACATTCCAATATCGATATTTGTGCTAAAGTGTGTGCACTATTTAGTATACATTTAACTATATAAATGTACACATATTACTGTATGGAGAATCAGTTCCAGCGCACGAAGTGTTTCACTGACACCGAACAAAGTACTTCAGCAAATATCGGGCTCATCTGTTATTTTTTGTTTCTCGGAAGATCAAGAACAGCGGTGCAGTATTTGTTAGCTTTGGTAGCGCACTAGCGTCATGCCAATGGAGCACTCGGCCACTAGTTACCTTCTGGAGATTCTTTCCAGCAGGCAGCATTTAATCTCATCCTGAAGGCAATCTATGTTCGCGGTCAGAAAAACTAGGAGAGGTTTATTTGAGATAACGACACCATTTACGGTCGAGACACTTGTGAAAGGGATCCAGAATGCTTCATAAATTACATTTCTTTTGCCTGGTCTTCGCGTCTAAAGAAGGCGGGCTCTCTGGGAAAAATTGAGTTCAACCCGACTCGCCCGTGTGCGAAAATGGGGAATTATAAAATTTTACTCGAAAACGAAAGGTATGAATCGTAAGTCACTACATAGCGGGCTCTGACAACTTCGTTATCCATTTTCTAGATGAAGATCCGCCAGCTGGAGAATGGGAAGACGCCAAACTCATCCAGACCGAACTAAGTGGCCAGTAATGAGGCCATCCGGACGCACAAGCAAAGCCTCCAGAGGCAGTGGATGCTACTGAGCGCAGCCATGGGAGGTGGACCGCCATCCATTGCCAGCAGATAGCAGCTGTTCGAGCAAAACGTCAACGCGTTTAGGTTGCTTTGTCTGTATATCGTGTTACTTTATATTTATCATGCCTCCCACTGTTGTCAAGCTCCGGAGACAATATTTACTTGCCCCTTTTTTACCAGTATTTTACATTTTGCGCACGAATGTTCAGGCACAATTATCTCTTTATTTTGTAATTTAAGTTGAATAAATAAGCAGTCCGATCCAATCCAATTACTGCCGTCGCGGCCTCCGTCGCTTTGCTTGCGCGGCCTGTTCGGAAACCCTGCCGTCGCGTCCCCGCCCCGGCGTGCTCCCGTGACGGTGCCGGGATGGGAGGGACGCCGGCTGTGTGAATGAGGTCTAACGGGACACCCGCACCTCAAAGGGGGCTCCCCGCCTCGCGCACAAACTTCTCCCTTCCAGAGGTCGTAAACATCCACGAGCGAACCCCACAAGAGTCCCCAAAACTTTTCGCGCAGGGCCTCCGGGCGAAGTAAGACAACAAATAAAAAGGTTCCAGAACCTTACAGCTGGGTTTGATCAGACTTGTACGTAATCCGTTACAAGTAACGAAATTACTTGTAATCTTTTACATTTATCAGTAATTTAGTAACGGATTAATTACATATTTTCTAGAGTAATTTTAAAGTAATTCCGTTACATTTTTTACGTAACGGATTCCTTGTAATCCGTTACATTTTTTTGTCAGAACCAACCCCCCCCCCCCCCCCCCCAATTCTAAATAAAGTTCTTTTTTTTTCATTTTTGTAAAGTCGAGCGCAGTGACACTGTCACGCGAATCGACCAGCGCAAGGAGAGGCTTGGCACTCTTCAGTTCCGCAAACCCTTTTTTTTTTTGCAACACCAAGCCCCTGAATCTAAGTAAAAATATCCAAATAAACAATTCTACAAAAAAAAAAAAAAAAAAAGGGGGGGGGGGTAGTTATTTTTACTTTTGTTCAATTCCTTTTTTTTTTTCTTTGCGATCGAAGACGGTAGGGGAGGACACCAAGTGATTGTGCGCCTCCTCGAGAAGCTCGAGGCGGTAAGTGCACTGAAAAGAATTAACAATGACTAGGACCATTTTCATAATGTCACAACACCAGACAACGCTCCGTCTACCCTACCCTTTTTGTGAGTCAGCTTTTTGCGAGCACTTATAGACCTTTTCCACAAGGGCGCCGCCATCTTGAATTGACGTCACTTCCAGTATGGGCGAAAACGTAACTTTGCCGTTGCCACGCCAATAGAAGACATTTAGGATATAAGCCTAACCGTCACACATTCTCGTTTTGGCTCGCCTCTATTTTTTTACTAGTTACAGGTTGAAACGTTTTACTTTTTTTTCGTCGCCCATACTGGAAGTGACGACAATTCAAGATGGCGGCGCCCTTGTGGAAAAGGTCTATAAAATGGTAATAGTCTTCCTTTCTTCTTCTTCCTGTTTTACCCCAGCAGGATGCATCTTATCTCAAGCAGATATTTTTACAAATAAAACATAATGGTGGCTGACGTAGACTTGATATTTCTGAGCTTGAGGAGAGAGTGAAATTCGTGAGTGGGGCCATAGCGTGGCTTACTTAGTACTCTGCTCTTTGCTGCCCGTGGCATCAGCGGACGTCTATCTGGAGAACACCGGAGTAAACTGCAGTCGGTCCGTGCTCCGTGCGTTTTTGAACGGCACCAAGAAAAGTACACACGGCAAACGTGCATTTACATTTCCTTGTTTTAACCGACGCTCTAATTAATTGTTGTTAGGAGTGTCCTTCTTTTTCTTTTATTACTTATATTTATATACTGGAAACTTTTTTTTATTCACCAACGTCTCAAGTGAGGCTCGAACTGTTCAGAACCAAAGGAAGAAGAATATCGAGCCAAACCTTATTTATTATTTATTTATCCCCTTACTGTTACAACTATGTTTTGCTGTTGATGACTTCTACAGCTTCGCGATTTAGACAATGGAGAATTTTATTAGACCGGTCCGATGACTCCGATAATGATATCCGATACTTGGCCGCCGTCTTTGCGTATGCATCATGTCGTTATCTGGTACCGTTATCGCGGGTATCGGAGGTATCGGAAGGATCTACTAAATCTCTCGAATAGCATGGCAACGGCTGCAACGACGAAGCTTTGCTCTACATTCGGGGTAAATAGTACTTCCCTCGCTTCGCTGAAAAAGCTCAATGCAGAGCATGAAGCATTCGTGAGGAACAATATGGCACTCGCATCCAGTGCCTCAGCTCAAATGGTGTTCAGCGTAGCAGTCGACATAATGAGTAAGAAATAACGCAAAATGTCTGACGAGACTTTCGAGAGCCAGCTGTTGCTCAAAATACTCAAGGTCATTAAATGGAACAGGTGGCAACAATAAAAACTTGAATAACTCTCTTCCCTTTGTTTCTTACTTGAGGACAATAATGTTAAAAGTAACGCCACGAAAGTAACGGATTACTTTTTGGGGTAACGGTCAGTTACTTTCACGGGAGGGTAATTGTAATTGTAATAAATTACAATTTAGCCTCGAGTAATTGTAAATGTAATTCGTTACTATTTTTCAGTAACGTGTACAAGTCTGGGTTTGATACGTTCTCTTTCTTTCTTCTTGGTGTCAACTTCAGTACTTCCTCAGTCTCAGGGTTTCTTCAGAATGTTAAATATAAACCCTCTCACTTGCGCCCCTGGATTCTGTTTTTCAGTGTATCGCCTTTTACTATGAAAATTGGAAAATGCTGTTACATTTCGACGCAGCTGCAACGAATCACCGCGTTAACACAAGTGAGTTTTTACTAAACCCGCCTGCTCGGCCAAAAAAAGATATTTTCGCATTTATAGAGTATTTTGAACTTCGGAAGCGCGTGCAGCCTTGGAGCGACGTTGCACAGCCCGTTCACATCCGCTCTGTACTCTGTAAACAAGGCCAACGCGTAGAAGAGACCGCATCCCTCATGTACCTGCAACTCGACCTGTTTTGAGTCTGTGGCTAGAGTGTACCTGCCCCATCATCAGATCAGTGTCGCTTTTGAAACCAGAGCCATCCACCATCCTGTTCGAGCCTCAAGCCGCGCCACGTCCGATGCCCGAGCCTTGAAACGACGCCATGTTTGGGTTGAAGATTCTGTTCTTGTCGACTTTTTTTGCAGCGTCTTCTGCTTCTGGTGCGAGTAAGTGGAGATATGGTCTTACCTTTCCCTTGCCCATAACTTATGATTTGTTGCGGGTTAAGAAAAACAGGACATCCTCCTCTTTCACTCTTTCCACTTTAGCAGAGTGAAGGCTAGAGAGGAAGTAAAAAAAGGTGAGGAGGGACTCACCTTCTGTAGAGCGTACGGGTTGTGACCTGCAACAGGACGTCTTCCTCCTCGAAAGTACAGTGGCCTTGGAGCCGACGCCTTCTACGTAGTTGGAATGGCTAGACGCGCGCTGCCTCGACGTTTCCTCCTTTGAAGTAAGAGGGGTGGCTGCCGCCATTTGTCGTCGTGGACGGCATTGTAGAAAGTGGACACAGCCATCTCTGTGGTCTAGGCAAATTCGCTATCTCGGTGCGTCGGCGGCAGCTCTCTCTCCCTTGGTGCAGCGCGATGCGTGTGCTTTTACTCGAACGCGGGTTGTCCGCACCGAGAGGGGAGGATTTTGGGTCGAAGGCGCACTGTCTAATGCAAATGAGCGGAGCAAAGGCATTCCGCAGTAGAGTGCTTTCCCTTTCAATTGAGTCTTTTCGCCAGATGGCAACTTGACTCAATATAGACCGACACGCAGTTTACAAACAAACCCGCGTCTGCCCACACAAAGTGTGGGCACTGCGCTTGCGCAGTGCCATTGACAACGTCACCGCAGCTGCGTGACGTCAGGGCCGCGGGCTGGTCAATAGGGGTCATTCACTGGACGCCATATTTGAGGGCGATGTTTAGGGCGCATGCTCAGAACGAGCTTGCATTGATAGCCTACTAAGACCGGCAATCTTGATGGTGTGGAATGCACGTTGCAAAAGAACTATGGAAGCTCGCCGTCAGCACGTGCTCAGCGACCAGGCACACAGATATGGCCGCCAGTGAATACTTTCTATAGGGAGTATTCACTGGCGGCCATATCCGTGTGCGCTGCTGCTGAGCGCGTGCTGACGGCGAGCTTCCGCAGTCCTTTTGGAGCGTGCATTTAGCAACATCAAGGTTGCCGGTCTTAGCAGGCTATTCATGGGAGCTCGTTCTGAGCATGCGCTCTAAACATCGCCCTCAAATATGGCGTCCAGTGAATACCTCCTATAGACGCTTTACACACGCGCCAAATTACAGCCGCCATTGGTGACCTTCTCTTGTCTTACCGACATTCCGAGCAACTGAAACGGTAGTTGACGATCCTTAACAAAGGCCGATGCTTTAGAAAAGGGCACAGTTGAATCTAATATGGCAATAACCTGACCTGCTATGGTAATGATGAAATGAAATAAACGGAATAAGAGGAAACAAAAACTGAAGGTCAGTTATGGCGGCGTCCATGCACAGCTGCTGCAAAGCGTCTATAGCCAACATGTCCCTAAAAACTGGCTCACACACTTGTGCTTTGTCGCAACTGAGTGCATTGCGCAGCCTTTTTCAGCCCGGACTTGTACAGTACTCATTACAAGCCATCAAATAACTTCTAATCGCTTCCTTTTATTCGGTAGCAATTACGGGAGTAATTTGATTACTTTTGGAAGTCGGAAGGACGGCGCGTGCATCATTAATGGTGCGCGCGCCGTACAAAAGGGGTGACTCCAATGACATCAGCTATCCGCATCGTGCGTATTGCCATTTCCGGTCAAGGAGCACAACGTCGTGCGTATAGCTTCATTTCTTTTGGAAGGCGACAGCGCTTTACATAACCGAAGACGTCGCCGTCGCGCTTGAGCTCGCCGGTGAATTTTATGCATGTCTTCTTCTGCAGCTTCTCAATGTTCTTCATCGACACTTGAATCTCAGAAGACATACGAAGGAACCCCCAGAAAGGAACGATTAAGCATTTCGAGTCGACACGTTGACACCCATGCGGTTTCAACTTCCGAGCCCAATGGCGGCGGCAACCGGTATCAGCCCGTGTTCTCATGGTGGTGGTAGTTTCGTATTTATCGTTGTAGAAAATATATCGACTTACAATCTCAACCTCAGAAATTAAATATAGATACAGCATGTATTTTATTATAAAAATGCAAACTTGTACAGACAAATAAACTTAAAATTAATTTAACAGCATTTTGAATACTGCACTTTGAATAGCACGGCGTTCGAATAGCCGATGAAGGCCGATAATACGGAAATAAAAAAAAAAAAAAAAAAAGAACAGAAAAGTAGAAAACTCAAGGAGGCGTTCTAGGAGAAGCCCAACTTCTAGGATCACCTTCGCCATCTGACGTTGGTAACGTCATGCCTCCAAGCGCTGCGGCTTAGACTCTAGGTGGTGTTGGCCGGCGACGACTAACGGCGACGAGGAAAAAATCTGCGCAAAGTGTCGGG